CTTAGATACATGATACAATATAATGGATATAAAGCCAAGGTTATTAAGTAGCTGAACATTAGAGGGAAATTTTGAATTTCTATTTAACAACTGGGTACTTATGCCACCAATACGTGCCACACACTTTTGTACATTGACTGAATATACTTAATATCCGTGCAAAATTTCTGTAAACACATTTTTTACGTTCGTGGTTTATAAAAATATTTTCCCTGGCAGTTGTTTTTTTTGTTCTGCTGCTTCTGTTTTTGTTTGTTAAACGTAGGCTGGTTATAGGAAAAGGAGTTTCAGTAAAACAGGAGCGACATAACGATAGTTACACAGACAGACCAAATTTGTTTGCTGCTGCCGTAAAAGACAGGCAGACTGGCAGGCAGGCAGTCAGGTTGCGTTCCTTTGGCTATGAAAATATGAAACATACATTTAAAAATTCTTCTTCCCTGTTTATTTGTTTGTATTTGCACAATGTACTACTACTATTCATACTTACATTGTGTATGACTCCAATGATGTTGTTGTTGTTTTTAATACAAAAATATGCAAAAAAAAAAAACTCTGAATGAAATTTTATGTACCCTTGTGGTTTAATGAAGCTTTATAGTTTCGTTCTTGTATATATGTATGTGTGAGTGAGTAAGTATGTATGTAAATTTTGTGTGTGTTTTTCATGTTTTCATACATTTCTTCTATGTGGTTTTGCACTTTGTTTTTGACCTGCAAAACTATTCCTTTTTTCAATTCCTTCTTTTTTTTCAAAACTCCCAAAAGGTTAAAAATGGACTTTTTGTTGTGGTTGCATGAGTTCATGCCACAAAAGTACATTCTATAATACACTTAAACACACACGCATACGTTTTTATGTTTAAACCTACACTTATACTTAAATCTGTGCCAACAACTACAACAGGAACAATAATAATGTTAATAGTGTTAGTGATGCGATTATTTCATTTATGATTTTAAAAATAGAAAGAAAAAATTTGTTGAGTCGTTAAAGTTATGAAAGTTTGCAGATATTGTTTTTAAAAGTCAAGCTCCGGCTAGAGTCAAGTTTATAGCGTGAGTTGCAGAGGCTACACTTTGTAGTATAGTTTAGATTGTAGTCTATGTAGATATAGTGTATAGTTTGTATATAGATAAGACTATAGGCCATAGTATAGATTGGACTAAACCCCCGACTATATACTAGACCAGACTATGAACCAAAATATTATATTTAGTTTGAACTTTAGTTTAGTCTATAGTTCAGTTTATAATCTGGACTATAGTTTAGTCTGTAGTCTGGACTGTAGTTTAGTCTAAAGTCTACTTTTAAATGTAGTCCAAAGTCTAGTCTAAAGTATAGTCTATAGTCTAGTCTTTATTCTAGTTTATGGTCTAGTCTACAATCTTGTATATAGTCCAGTCAATTGTCTAGTTTATAGTCTAGGCTAATGTTTAGGCTATAGTTCAGTCTATAGTCTAGTCTATAGTCTAGTCTATAGTCTAGTCTATAGTCTAGTCTATAGTCTAGTCTATTGTCTAGTCTATAGTCTAGTCTATTGTCTAGTCTATAGTCTAGGCTATAGTCTAGTCTATTGTCTAGTCTATAGTCTAGTCTATAGTCTAGTCTATTGTCTAGTCTATAGTCTAGTCTATAGTCTAGTCTATTGTCTAGTCTATAGTCTAGTCTATAGTCTAGTCTATTGTCTAGTCTATAGTCTAGCCTATAGTCTAGTCTATAGTCTAGCCTATAGTCTAGTCTATTGTCTAGCCTATAGTCTAGTCTATAGTCTAGTCTATAGTCTAGTCTATAGTGTAGTCTATAGTCTAGTCTATAGTCTAGTCTATAGTCTAGTCTATAGTCTAGTCTATAGTCTAGTCTATAGTCTAGTCTATAGTCTAGTCTATAGTCTAGTCTATAGTCTAGTCTATAGTCTAGTCTATAGTCTAGTCTATAGTCTAGTCTATAGTCTAGTCTATAGTCTAGTCTATAGTCTAGTCTATAGTCTAGTCTATAGTCTAGTCTATAGTCTAGTCTATAGTCTAGTCTATAGTCTAGTCTATAGTCTAGTCTATAGTCTAGTCTATAGTCTAGTCTATAGTCTAGTCTATAGTCTAGTCTATAGTCTAGTCTATAGTCTAGTCTATAGTCTAGTCTATAGTCTAGTCTATAGTCTAGTCTATAGTCTAGTCTATAGTCTAGTCTATAGTCTATAGTCTAGTCTATAGTCTAGTCATAGTCTAGTCTATAGTCTAGTCTATCTAGTCTAGTCCTATAGTCTAGTCTATAGTCTAGTCTATAGTCTAGTCTATTAGTCTAGGTCTATAGTCTAGTCTATAGTCTAGTCTATAGTCTAGTCTATAGTCTAGTCTATAGTCTAGTCTTAGTCTAGTCTAGTCTAGTCTATAGTCTAGTCTATAGTCTAGTCTATAGTCTAGTCTATAGTCTAGTCTATAGTCTAGTCTATAGTCTAGTCCTATAGTCTAGTCTATAGTCTAGTCTATAGTCTAGCTATAGTCTAGTCTATAGTCTAGTCTATAGTCTAGTCTATAGTTAGTCTATTAGTCTAGTCTATAGTCTAGTCTATAGTCTAGTCTATAGTCTCGTCTATAGTCTAGTCTATAGTCTAGTCTATAGTCTAGTCTATAGTCTAGTCTATAGTCTAGTCTATAGTCTAGTCTAAGTCTAGTCTAAGTCTAGTCTATGTCTAGTCTATAGTCTAGTCTATTAGTCTAGTCTATGTCTAGTCTATAGTCTAGTCTATAGTCTAGTCTATAGTCTAGTCTATAGTCTAGTCTATAGTCTAGTCTATAGTCTAGTCTATAGTCTAGTCTATAGTCTAGTCTATAGTCTAGTCTATAGTCTAGTCTATAGTCTAGTCTATAGTCTAGTCTATAGTCTAGTCTATAGTCTAGTCTATAGTCTAGTCTATAGTCTAGTCTATAGTCTAGTCTATAGTCTAGTCTATAGTCTAGTCTATATCTAGTCTAAGTCTAGTCTATAGTCTAGTCTATAGTCTAGTCTATAGTCTAGTCTATAGTCTAGTCTATAGTCTAGTCTATAGTCTAGTCTATAGTCTAGTCTATAGTCTAGTCTATAGTCTAGTCTATAGTCTAGTCTATGTCTAGTCTATGTCTAGTCTATAGTCTAGTCTATAGTCTAGTCTAGTCTAGTCTATAGTCTAGTCTATAGTCTAGTCTATAGTCTAGTCTATAGTCTAGTCTATAGTCTAGTCTATAGTCTAGTCTATGGTCTAGTCTATAGTCTAGCCTATAGTCTAGCCTATAGTCTAGTCTATAGTCTAGTCTATAGTCTAGTCTATAGTCTAGTCTATAGTCTAGTCTATAGTCTAGTCTATAGTCTAGTCTATAGTCTAGTCTATAGTCTAGTCTATAGTCTAGTCTATAGTCTAGTCTATAGTCTAGTCTATAGTCTAGTCTATAGTCTAGTCTATAGTCTAGTCTATAGTCTAGTCCATAGTCTAGTCTATAGTCTAGTCTATAGTCTAGTCTATAGTCTAGTCTATAGTCTAGTCTATAGTCTAGTCTATAGTCTAGTCTATAGTCTAGTCTATCTAGTCTATAATCTAGTCTATAGTCTAGTCTATAGTCTAGTCTATAGTCTAGTCTATAGTCTGGTCTATAGTCTAGTCTATAGTCTAGTCTATAGTCTAGTCTATAGTCTAGTCTATAGTCTAGTCTATAGTCTAGTCTATAGTTTAGTCAATAGTCTAGTCTATAGTCTAGTCTATAGTCTAGTCTATAGTCAAGTCTATAGCCTAGTCTATAGTCTAGTCTATAGTCTAGTCTATAGTCTAGTCTATAGTCTAGTCTATAGTTCTCAGTCTATAGTCTAGCCTATCGTCTAGTCTGTAGTCTTGTCTATAGTTAGTCTATAGTCTAGTCTATAGTCTAGTCTATAGTCTAGTCTATAGTCTAGTCTATAGTTCTAGTCTATAGTCTAGTCTATAGTTCTAGTCTATAGTCTAGTCTATAGTCTAGTCTATAGTCTAGTCTATAGTCTAGTCTATGTCTAGTCTAGTCTATAGTCTAGTCTATAGTCTAGTCTATAGTCTAGTCTATAGTCTAGGTCTATAGTCTAGTCTATAGTTTAGTCTATAGTCTAGTCTATAGTCTAGTCTATAGTCTAGTCTATCGTCTAGTCTATCGTCTAGTCTATAGTCTAGCCTATCGTCTAGTCTATATTCTAGTCTATAGTCTAGTCTATCGTCTAGTCTATAGTCTAGTCTATAGTCTAGTCTATAGTCTAGTCTATAGTCTAGTCTATAGTCTAGTCTATAGTAGTCTATAGTCTAGTTAGTCTATGTCTATAGTTATAGTTGTCTATAGTCTAGTCTATAGTCTAGTCTATAGTCTTAGTCTATAGTTGAATCTATAGTATAGTCATAGTCTCTATATAGTCTAGTCTATAGTCTAGTTCTATAGTCTAGTCTATAGTCTAGTCTATAGTCTTGTGAATTATAGATAGGCCTTTGGTCTAAAGTTTGGACTATAGTCGAATTTTTGGTTAATTTTTATAAATATAAGTAATTTGATATGAGAATCGATTATATTCTCTCCCTAATACTCCCTAACCTCAGAACACTAAGCCACTAAACAAAGTTAGAAGAAACAAATATTTGTTAAGAGGATTGTTTTCATTTTCAAGCGATAAAATATGTAAAAAAGAAAAGAGGAATTTTAACAAATTTATGTTTAAGCCTGAACACACAAGTATCTGCTTAAGATATGAACACACAATCTTTAAAAAAAAACTAAAAACTAAAAAAAGTCTACATTATGTGGCGACACTTTTTTCTTAATCCTTTTTCTAAAAAAAAAAACTAACAAAAGAGTGAAAGGATTTCCAAAGAAATACAATTTCTTTCTAACAGTTTTTTATACACACATACACAAGGATACTTACTTTAATCTTAAGCAACTCTTTAGGTTTCTTTTGTATTTATAAAAAAGGAAAACTTAAAAAATAGAGCAAAATGTTAGAGAAACACACTTACCTGTCTTACGGCATAGTAACAGGTTAAATTTCTTGGATATATACCAGGATAATTTGGTGATTGCAAACGACAGGCTTTCTTATCACAGTCACTAAATATGCGGGAACAATAGGTACCGGGTATTAAATCACCTTAAATGAGTTTAATGAAAAAAAACGTACTATAACATCAGGGTTTATGTTAACAAAAGGAAGACATATTTAGTGGGGTTTGGAAAGAAAATTAATTTAAGGAAGTGTTGAGAAATTTTTTTTCTTTTTTTATTGTTTTTTTAAAGACATATTTATTCAATATGAAAAAGTTTCTTTTAATTTTTTTTGTTAAGGATTTTAAGAAAAGTCTTTCTTAATGCGAGGGGGACTAAGCGTTGAATCAATAGATAAGCAGCTTAGCATTTCACAAGAAACGTTTCGAAATAGTTTCTTAATTCTATTTAATGTTTTCTTTTTATAATTACCTAAATAGTATTTGGGTTCGGTGTAATTATGTTCATCCTTTGTCATTTGGTTATTGAGAGAACTTAAAAAAGTTTTATTATTGGCATAAGCACTAAATAAACTAAAATCCTGACCATAACGATCCGAGTGCACCCCACTTGTATTGGTGAAATCGTCTACAGCATTTTGATGCAAGAAACTGCTGCGATTATGCCACTGCTGGAGATCTAAAATATTTGAAGAATACAAAAAGAAATTTTAACGAAACTTATCGATAAAAAGGAAATTTATCGTAAATTTTCTAAATTTATCGTAAATTTACTATAAAAATAAAATTTTTTGAAAACTTTCTTAAAAAGAAAATTTATCGTAAATTTTCTATAAAAAGGAAATTTATCGTAAATTTTCTATAAGAAGAAAATTTTTTGAAAATTTTCTTAAAAAGAAAATTTATTGTAAATTTTCAATAAAAAAAATGTATCGTAAATTTTCCATAAAAAAATGTATCGTAAATTTTTCATAAAAAAAATTTATCGTAAATTTTTCATAAAAATTTATCGTAAATTTTCCATAAAAATTTATCGTAAATTTTCTATAAAAAAATAATTTATCATAAATTTTCTATAAGAAAAAAATTTATGAAAAATTCTATATAAAACGAAAATTTATGAAAAATTCTATAAAAAAGAAAAGTTATGAATAATTCTATATAAAAAGAAAATTTATGAAAAATTCTATATAAAAAGAAAATTTATTGAAAATTTCTATAAAAAGAAAATTTATTGTAAAATTTGCATAAAAAGAAAATTTATCGTAAATTTTCTATGAAAAGAAAATTTATCGTAAATTTGCTGTAAAAAGAAAATTTATCGTGAATTTGCTGTAAAAAGAAAATTTATCGTAAATTTGCTGTAAAAAGAAAATATATCGTAAATTTTCTATAAAAAGAAAATTTATCGTAAATTTTCTGTAAAAAGAAATTTGATCGTAAATTTTCTGTAAAAAGAAATTTGATCGTAAATTTTCTGTTAAAAGAAAATTTATCGTAAATTTTCTGTAAAAAGAAAATTTATCGTAAATTTATATAAAATTTATGGAAAATTTTGTATAAAAAGCTAATCTATGGAAAATTTTGTATAAAAAGCTAATCTATGGAAAATTTTGTATAAAAAGAAAATTTATGGAAAATTTTGTATAAAAAGAAAATTTATGGAAAATTTTCTATAAAAATAAAATTTATGAAAAGTTTTCTATAAAAAGAAAATTTATGAAAAGTTTTCTATAGAAAGAAAATTTATGAAAAGTTTTCTATAAAAAGAAAATTTATGAAAAATTTTCTATAAAAAGAAAATTTATGGAAAATTTTCTATAAAAAAAAATTTATGAAAATTTCCAAAAAAAAAGAAAATTTATGAAAATTTTCCAAAAAAAGAAAATTTATGAAAAATTTTCTATAAAAAGAAAATTTATGAAAAATTTTCTATAAAAAGAAAATTTATGAAAAATTTTCTATAAAAAGAAAATTTATGAAAAATTTTCTATAAAAAGAAAATTTCAAAAATTTTCCATAAATTTTCTATAAAAAGAAAATTTATGAAAAATTTTCTATAAAAAGAAAATTTATGAAAAATTTTCTATAAAAAGAAAATTTCTGGAAGATTTTCTATAAAAAGAAAATTTAGGGAAAATTTTCTGTAAAAAGAAAATTTCTGGAAAATTTTCTATAAAAATAAAATTTTTTGAAAATTTTCTATTAAAAGAACTTTTAACGAAAAAGAATTTTTTTTAGAAAATTCCTATAAAACAGAATTTTATCTTACTCACCTTCAACTTTAATACCACCATAACGTGTAACAGAACTATCACGGGATAAAACTTTATATCGTATACGAAAATCAAAATTATAACCGCTTTGATCACGTGCTAATCTGTAATGAAAAAATAAATAGGAAAAAGTAGAAGAAATAATCAAAACCAGAAATAAGTTTTAGAAAAATGTGTAAAAAAATAGTTGGCTAAAAGAAGAAGTATTTCCGTAAACAAAACTAAAAAAAGGTAAAACTATGAAATGAGATTGGCTTCTAAAAAAACACAAAACACAGAAAACTAAACGGAAAAATAGTTTTTTACAAGTTTATGAAAATGATAAAAGTTTACCTTTTAATATGAAACAACAAAAGTGGAAAAAAAGGTGTAGAAAAAATGCAGAAAAATAAACTTTTTTTTACTCACTTATTTAATTTAATGGTAAATATCAAAGAACGAGATTCACTATAAAATAAAACTGGTCCCCATGAGGTGCCACACCACATGCCGCCAATGGGTGTACGGGCTGATTCAGCTATTTGCATATAACCATCCGGGCAACCATCTTGTGTATATGAGGTAAAACGTCCTATAGTAAAACTATCCAAAGTTACCTTTTATAAAAAGAGAGAAAACAAAAATTATAAAAATTTATACATATAGTTTTAAGTAAAAGCTGTTAGTTATAAAAAATGCGAGTTCATCATCGATCAAAATTTTGTAATATTTCATTTCATGTTGAAGAACATTTTTTCCATTGACTGGTTTTGCTTGAAAAAGTGTACATCAATTTTTAAAGCGGAACCAGCAATTTTTGCTGTTAACTTGTTGAATTGCCAACTTTACTTTATTAACCTCTTATAAAAGCTTTTTTAAAATTTTTCTTTTTATAGAAAATTCTTTATTTATTCAACAACATTATTAAATTTTTAAATCATTTGACCCAAAATTTTTCTAAAATTAATCTCAACTATTTATTACTATTATTTATTTACTTTTAATCCCAAATTACTTAAAATCTCAGTTCACTTTTAAACCATTAATATTACACTTTATTTAAAATATTTAAAATGTTAGAATGTTATTAAAACAATTTATTAACTAAATAAACCCAACCAAACACACACATGCACACAATCTCTAGTGTAATCCCACTTAATTGTTATTAACTTATTCAATTAACCAAAAACTATTTGTATTCATACAAAATATAAAATCCACACATATTAGAGATTAAAAGTATTAAAAGGCAACAAATGCAAACAATACAAAAACTCATTTATTCTGAAACTGAAATTGTGTGGTTTTAAGCAAATTTTTATCAATCTATTGAAAACTAGTATTAACCGGTGTGCTTCGCTAGCCTCATCTTAAATAAAATTAACATTAACCATCCTGTAGAGTTTCCTTCAATCAAGACGCTGCTTGTTACATCCTAAACCACCTTAGGAGGGAGGGAGGGAGGCAGTTCGCAATTTTGAAGATAATTTAACAATGAAATTTGCTACATGATCTTCAATTGTCCCAGGGACTAAGCTTAATGAAAATGGTTTAGATCGGTCCATTATTTCACTTAGCCCCCATACAATTGAATCCTCGAGTAGGGCTTTTAAACCTTGTAATCATATTACACTTCGCAATTTTAAAGAAAATTTAATCAAATTTGGCACATGATCTTCTATCGTTCCAGGAACGAAGTTTCTTGAAAATCGGTACATTATCCATACAACTAAACCTTACGAATAGGGCTTTTGAGCTCATAATTATGATTAACATACTTTTATATCGATAAAAAGCGGTACAACTATGTAAGTTTTATAGTTGCCTTTAAGATTCTGAGGAATTTTGTAATGATAGGGCCCCTTTTGACCCTAGCTCTACAAAGACCCCTTCAGAAAATGACTTAAATGCCCGCAATTCATTTAATGTCGCGATGAAGACTATGGTCTAGTATATAGTTTATTCTGTAGTCTAGATTATAATCTAGTCTTTAGTCTAGTCTTTAATCTAGTCTTGAGTCTAGTCTTTAGTCAAGTCTTTAGTCTAGTTTATAGTCTAGTCTTTAGTCTAGTCTTTAGTGTAGTCTTTCGTCTAGTCTTTAGTCTAGTCTTTAGTCTAGTCTTTAGTCTAGTCTTTAGTCTAGCCTTTATTCTAGTCTTTAGTCTAGTCTTTAGTCTAGTCTTTAGTCTAGTCTTTAGTCTAGTCTTTAATCTAGTCTTTAGTTTAGTCTTTAGTCTAGTCTTTAGTCTAGTCTTTAGTCTAGTCTTTAGTCAAGTCTTTAGTCTAGTCTTTAGTCTAGTTTATAGTCTAGTTTATAGTCTAGTCTTTAGTCTATAGTCTAGTCTATAGTCTAGTCTATAGTCTAGTCTATAGTCTAGTCTATAGTTAGTCTATAGTCTAGTCTATAGTCTAGTCTATAGTAGTCTAGTCTATAGTCTAGTCTATAGTCTAGTCTATAGTCTAGTCTATAGTCTAGTCTATAGTCTAGTCTATAGTCTAGTCTATAGTCTAGTCTATAGTCTAGTCTATAGTCTAGTCTATAGTCTAGTCTATAGTCTAGTCTATAGTCCTAGTCTATAGTCTAGTCTATTAGTCTAGTCTATAGTCTAGTCTATAGTCTAGTCTATAGTCTAGTCTATAGTCTAGTCTACAGTCTCGTCTATAGTCTAGTCTATAGTCTAGTCTATAGTCTAGTCTATAGTCCTAGTCTATAGTCTAGTCTATAGTCTGGTCTATAGTCTAGTCTATAGTCTAGTCTATAGTCTAGTCTATAGTCTAGTCTATAGTCTAGTCTATAGGCTAGTCTATAGTCTAGTCCTATAGTCCTAGTCTATAGTCTAGTCTATAGTCTAGTCTATAGTCTAGTCTATATCTAGTCTATAGTCTAGTCTATAGTCTAGTCTATAGTCTAGTCTATAGTCTAGTCTATAGTCTAGTCTATAGTCTAGTCTATAGTCTAGTCTATAGTCTAGTCTATAGTCTAGTCTATAGTCTAGTCTATAGTCTAGTCTATAGTCTAGTCTATAGTCTAGTCTATAGCTAGTCTATAGTCTAGTCTATAGTCTAGTCTATAGTCTAGTCTATAGTCTAGTCTATAGTCTAGTCTATAGTCTAGTCTATAGTCTAGTCTATAGTCTAGTCTATAGTCTAGTCTATAGTCTAGTCTATAGTCTAGTCTATAGTCTAGTCTATAGTCTAGTCTATAGTCTAGTCTATAGTCTAGTCTATAGTCTAGTCTATAGTCTAGTCTATGTCTAGTCTATAGTCTGTCTATAGTCTAGTCTATAGTCTAGTCTATAGTCTAGTCTATAGTCTAGTCTATAGTCTAGGCTATAGTCTAGTCTATAGTCTAGTCTATAGTCAGTCTATAGTCTAGTCTATAGTCTAGTCTATAGTCTAGTCTATAGTCTAGTCTAAGCTCTAGTCTATAGTCTAGTCTATAGTCTAGTCTATAGTCTAGTCTATAGTCTAGTCTATAGTCTAGTCTATAGTCTAGCTATAGTCTGTCTATAGTTAGTCTATAGTCTAGTCTATAGTCTAGTCTATAGTCTAGTCTATAGTCTAGTCTATAGTCTAGTCTATAGTCTAGTCTCTAGTCTAGTCTATAGTCTAGTCTATAGTCTAGTCTATAGTTAGTCTATAGTCTAGTCTATAGTAGTCATAGTATGTCTATAGTCTAGTCTATAGTCTAGTCTATTTGTCTAGTCTATAGTCTAGTCTATAGTCTAGTCTATAGTCTAGTCTATAGTCTAGTCTATAGTCTAGTCTAGTCTATAGTCTAGTCTATAGTCTAGTCTATAGTCTAGTCTCTATAGTCTAGTCTATAGTCTCTATAGTCTAGTCTATAGTCTAGTCTATAGTCTAGTCTATAGTCTAGTCTATTCTAGTCTATAGTCTAGTCTATAGTCTAGTCTATAGTCTAGTCTATAGTCTAGTCTATAGTCTAGTCTATAGTCTAGTCTAGTCTAGTCTATAGTCTAGTCTATAGTCTAGTCTATAGTCTAGTCTATAGTCTAGTCTATAGTCTAGTCTATAGTCTAGTCTATAGTCTAGTCTATAGTCTAGTCTATAGTCTAGTCTATAGTCTAGTCTATAGTCTAGTCTATAGTCTAGTCTATAGTCTAGTCTATAGTCTAGTCTATAGTCTAGTCTATAGTCTAGTCTATAGTCTAGTCTATAGTCTAGTCTATAGTCTAGTCTAGTCTAGTCTATAGTCTAGTCTATAGTCTAGTCTATAGTCTAGTCTATAGTCTAGTCTATAGTCTAGTCTATAGTCTAGTCTATAGTCTAGTCTATAGTCTAGTCTATAGTCTAGTCTATAGTCTAGTCTATAGTCTAGTCTATAGTCTAGTCTATAGTCTAGTCTATAGTCTAGTCTATAGTCTAGTCTATAGTCTAGTCTATAGTCTAGTCTATAGTCTAGTCTATAGTCTAGTCTATAGTCTAGTCATAGTCTAGTCTATAGTCTAGTCTATAGTCTAGTCTATAGTCTAGTCTATAGTCTAGTCTATAGTCTAGTCTATAGTCTAGTCTATAGTCTAGTCTATAGTCTAGTCTATAGTCTAGTCTATAGTCTAGTCTATAGTCTAGTCTATAGTCTAGTCTATAGTCTAGTCTATAGTCTAGTCTATAGTCTAGTCTATAGTCTAGTCTATAGTCTAGTCTATAGTCTAGTCTGTAGTCTAGTCTATAGTCTAGTCTATAGTCTAGTCTATAGTCTAGTCTATAGTCTAGTCTTAGTCTAGTCTATAGTCTAGTCTATAGTCTAGTCTATATAGTCTTAGTCTAGTCTATAGTCTAGTCTATAGTCTAGTCTATAGTCTAGTCTATAGTCTAGTCTATAGTCTAGTCTATAGTCTAGTCTATAGTCTAGTCTATAGTCTAGTCTATAGTCTAGTCTATAGTCTAGTCTATAGTCTAGTCTATAGTCTAGTCTATAGTCTAGTCTATAGTCTAGTCTATAGTCTAGTCTATAGTCTAGTCTATAGTCTAGTCTATAGTCTAGTCTATAGTCTAGTCTATAGTCTAGTCTATAGTCTAGTCTATAGTCTAGTCTATAGTCCAGTCTATAGTTTAGTCTACAGTTTTGTTTATAGTATAGTCTATTATCTAGCCTATGACCTGTCTATGGTCTATCGATTTGTTGATCTGTCCAACTTTCTGGCTTCAACTGTTAAGGCAGTGCGTTGAGGAATCTTTCGTCAGTTAGTCAGTAACATTATAATTATATATATATATATATGTACAATAAAATTTGTGGACAATGTGCTAGTGACAATATGCTAAACATTACGTCCTTCTATCGGTCTTACAGTTTGAAGCTTTTTATCTAAAACTAAACACTAACTGACATTTTTTTTTTTGTGATTTTTACGTTTTTAATCCCAAATGGTCAAATAACATTTTCAAGCTTTAGTTGTACTTAAGCATCACTGGCAAATATCCTGTTAATAATACTTCTACATACAAACTAGTTTGCATAGTAACGTGTATGGGTGTGGGTGTTCTAACATAAAAAAGGACTGACAACTGACTTTGTATGTAAAATAGAAGAGAAAAAGAATTGTAAAAAACAAAAGTATTTGCTTTTTGTTACCGGAAACGTGAGGACAGGAAATCCGCCAACCGACAACAGAGTATGTTTTTAGTTACCGTTATGTAGTAGCAAGGCTTTTCGCTTTTTTGTTTTTTTTTTTTTTTTTTGTACAAAACTTTTTCAATTTTTGTGCTATTTCTCCCAAACCTTTTACACTGATTTTCTTTATTGATGGATGTGGGTCTGTATGTGTTTGCATGGTCATGCTGTTGCTATTTTACTAGAAATGTTTCAACATTTTATGAATATTATTATAAAAGTTTGACTATGTTTTAAATAAAAATTTAAATGAAAATATTTTATGAAATGTGCTGAAATTTGTTTGGCATGTGTAAAAGAGAGCATAGACCGAAAGATTTGTATGTAAAAATATATTGAAATATAAAAAATGTAATAATTAAAAAATTTGTAAACGTTTTTTTTTTTGTGGAGAGAATGTAAGAATACAAAACTTTGGTTAACGTGTTGTATGAGTGATTTTTATTAACAAATTATATTTTTTCGTAAGTATACGCTCTGTTCAATAATACTGAAAAGGGACAAAAACTTAATACATAAAAAAATTTACAAAAATTTCTATGAAAAGATAATTCAACAAAAATTTTCTTTACAAAGAAAATTCTACAAAATTTTCTATAAAAACAAAATTCCACGAAAATTTTCTATAAATAGAAAATTCAACGAAAATGTTCTATAAAAAGAAAATTCAACGAAAATTTTCTTAAAAGAAAATTTATGGAAATTTCTTATAAAAAAAGAAAATTTATGGAAAATTTTCTTTAACAAAATAAAATTTATGGAAAATTTCTTATAAAAAAAGAAAATTTATGGAAAATTTTCTATAAAAAAAAGAAAATGTATGGAAAATTTTCTATAAAAAAAAGAAAATGTATGGAAAATTTTCTATAAAAAAAGAAAATGTATGGAAAATTTTCTATAAAAAAGAAAATTTATGGAAAATTTTCTATAAAAATAAAATTTATGGAAAATTTTCTATAAAAATAAAATTTATGGAAAATTTTCTATAAAAAGAAAATTTATGGAAAATTTTCTATAAAAAGAAAATTTATGGAAAATTTTCTATAAAAAGAAAATTTATGAAAAATTTTCTATAATAAGAAAATTTATGAAAAATTTCTTTAATAAGAAAATTTATGAAAAATTTTCTATAATAAGAAAATTTATGAAAATTTTCTATAATAAGAAACTTTATGAAAAATTTGCTGCAAAAAGAAAATTTATGGAAAATTTTCTATAGAAACAAAATTTTTTAAAAATTTTCTATGAAAAGAAAATTTATGGAAAATTTTCTATAAAAAGAAAATTTATGGAAAATTTTCTATAAAAAGAAACTTTATGAAAAATTTTCTTTAAAAAGAAAACTTGATTGGCCTTTCGTAAGTTTGTCTTACCTGTACAACATCACCATGTTGACCTCCCGCAGCAGTAAATGTTAAAACACACACATAAGGCAGGCGATCCTGTTTGGGACGATGCAACTCCAAGGAATAAGTTAAACCAATATCACCATAATAAGTACGATTACAACCTGAAATTAAAAGAAAAAAAGTATTTATAAATAAATTTTATTAAAATTTATTTTCATTTTAAGAAATGCAAATAAACCACAAAAAAACTTGTAATTGAAATTCTATAGCAACGAATGACAAAGAGTTTGAAGTTAATTAGAGTTCATGTCATGTCACGTCATGTCATGTAATTATAATAAAAGGATAAGAATTTAAACAAGTATTATTTAAACTAAAATTAAGGAGAATTCAATAACTGAAGCTCTGCCATAAAATTAAATCTACTGTTAAATGGTTAATAGTAATAAACTTCCTTAAGATATTTAACCTCAACTTTGCCCTTTAACTTCACTTAACTAAATTTTATAGCTTTTCCCAAAAACGTGCTCACTTTAAAGGTTACTTCTTTATTCTGCTCTACACTTCATATTTCTTACAATTGTCTTTCTTTTTCAATTAATTTACTTTATTGCTCGTGTATATCACAGATTTAAAGGTTGCACTTAACTGTCACAGTTGTACTCTCGCACCACATACGAGTACAATTATTTTTCTTCTAAACAAGAATAAAAAAACAGTGAAGTAGTGTAAAATTCATTTTGTCTTTTGATTCATAACTTTTTTCTTTCTCTATAGTTGCTTCAAATGTTCCAGATGACAGTGAGTTTCTGAATAACACAGTCACAGTTGCAGTAACAATGAACAATGGTTTTGAATAAACATAAATAAATGAATGTATGAGAATCTCTATCTGTCTGTGGGAGATGTGACAGTGTGAAACCAAATTCCAAGTTAAAAACCAACCAACTCGGTTGGTTGTTAAACAAAGACCTGAAGTTATACATAAATATCGATGGTTGAAAGAGGAAAGGACTTTGTGGTTAAAAGATTACAGGTTTATAGTTATCAGAAAATATTTATATTTCAAAAAAAAAATATATTATCTTTTTTATATAGCTTCTCTAGTTTGGGAACGAAACTAATTGGAAAAATTCCATATGGTACATCCTTTTTAATTTAACCTACCATACATACATGTAGTAAAGAACGAAGGTATGAGTCTTTGTGTGAAAGAAAACATGTTGACATTTTTTTGTTCTTAAACAGGATGTTGTGGTGAAGGATATTTGTTTAAATTATTTAAATTAATGAAGTGTGAGAATTATATATATTATGCGTTCTAAATTTATAGGAAATATTCTTAATGTGGAAAAATTATAGAAAATTAAATTAATTAAAAGTTAAAGACGGTCTTTTTAAGAAAAATTCTACATATTAATAATTTCGTAAGCACTATTACTACCTAATGTCTTAATATGTTTTTGTTTGGTTCATTTTATAGCATAATAGTCGTAACAACAGATCAGTATAAATTTCAGTATGAACTATAGCTCAGACTACAGTCTAAACAATAGATTACACTATGGCTTAGATTATAGCCTAGAATATAATTCAGATTATGGTCCAGACCAAAGATGAAACTTTAGTTCAGATTATAGGACAGGCTAGAGATCAGAATATAGTCTAAACTATAATACAATCCAGAATATACTCTATATATACCTGACTATATGTCAGATATAGTCCAGACTACTGATCAGATTGTAGTCCATACTATAGATCAGACTATAGTCCAGACTATAGATGAGACTATAGTCTAGACTATAGATGAGACTATAGTCCAGACTATAGATGAGACTATAGTCCAGACTATAGATGAGACTATAGTCCAGACTATAGATGAGACTATAGTCCAGACCATAGATGAGACTATAGTCCAGACTATAGATGAGACTATAGTCCAGACTATAGATGAGACTATAGTCCAGACTATAGATGAGACTATAGTCCAGACTATAGATGAGACTATAGTCCAGACTATAGATGAGACTATAGATGAGACTATAGTCCAGACTATAGATGAGACTATAGATGAGACTATAGTCCAGACTATAGATGAGACTATAGTCCAGACTATAGATGAGACTATAGTCCAGACTATAGATGAGACTATAGTCCAGACTATAGATGAGACTATAGTCCAGACTATAGATGAGACTATAGTCCAGACTATAGATGAGACTATAGTCCAGACTATAGATGAGACTATAGTCCAGACTTTATTTCAGACTATAGATCACACTATAGTACAGACCATTGATTATACTATAGTTTAGACTATAGATATTCCATAAAATATTCGATAAATTTTCTTTTTATAGAAAATAAATTTAGCATTTTATGGAAATTTTCATTGAATTTTCTTTTTATAGAAAAGTTTCGTTAAATTTTCTTTCTATAGAAAATTTGCGTTGAATTTTCTATCTATTGAAAATTTTAGTTAAATTTTCTTTTTATAGAAACTTTCAAAAAATATGTAAAAAATTTTCAATAACATTTCTTTCAATAGAAAATTTTCCATAAATTTTCTTTTCATATAAAATGTTTCATAAATTTTCTTATTATAGAAAAACTTCGTTAAATTTTGTTTCTTCTAATAGAAAAATTATTATTCAAAATATTCGTTAAATTTTCTTTTAATAGAAAATTTTTGTGAAATAGTCTAGTCTAGTCTATAGTCTAGTCTATAGTCTTGTCTATAGTCTAGTCTATAGTCTAGTCTATAGCTATAGTCTAGTCTATAGTCTAGTCTATAGTCTAGTCTATAGTCTAGTCTATAGTCAAGTCTATAGTCTAGTCTATAGTCTAGTCTATAGTCTAGTCTATAGTCTAGTCTATAGTCTAGTCTATAGTCTAGTCTATAGTCTAGTCTATAGTCTAGTCTATAGTCTAGTCTATAGTCTAGTCTATAGTCTAGTCTATAGTCTAGTCTATAGTCTAGTCTATAGTCTAGTCTATAGTCTAGTCTATAGTCTAGTCTATAGTCTAGTCTATAGTCTAGTCTATAGTCTAGTCTATAGTCTAGTCTATAGTCTAGTCTATAGTCTAGTCTATAGTCTAGTCTATAGTCTAGTCTATAGTCTAGTCTATAGTCTAGTCTATAGTCTAGTCTATAGTCTAGTCTATAGTCTAGTCTATAGTCTAGTCTATAGTCTAGTCTATAGTCTAGTCTATAGTCTAGTCTATAGTCTAGTCTATAGTCTAGTCTATAGTCTAGTCTAGTCTAGTCTATAGTCTAGTCTATAGTCTAGTCTATAGTCTAGTCTATAGTCTAGTCTATAGTCTAGTCTATAGTCTAGTCTATAGTCTAGTCTATAGTCTAGTCTATAGTCTAGTCTATAGTCTAGTCTATAGTCTAGTCTAGTCTAGTCTATAGTCTAGTCTATAGTCTAGTCTATAGTCTAGTCTATAGTCTAGTCTATAGTCTAGTCTATAGTCTAGTCTATAGTCTAGTCTATAGTCTAGGCTATAGTCTAGTCTATAGTCTAGTCTATAGTCTAGTCTATAGTCTAGTCTATAGTCTAGTCTATAGTCTAGTCTATAGTCTAGTCTATAGTCTAGTCTATAGTCTAGTCTATAGTCTAGTCTATAGTCTAGTCTATAGTCTAGTCTATAGTCTAGTCTATAGTCTAGTCTATAGTTAGTCTATAGTCTAGTCTATAGTCTAGTCTATAGTCTAGTCTATAGTCTAGTCTATAGTCTAGTCTATAGTCTAGTCTATAGTCTAGTCTATAGTCTAGTCTATAGTCTAGTCTATAGTCTAGTCTATAGTCTAGTCTATAGTCTAGTCTATAGTCTAGTCTATAGTCTAATCTATAGTCTAGTCTATAGTCTAGTCTATAGTCTAGTCTATAGTCTAGTCTATAGTCTAGTCTATAGTCTAGTCTATAGTCTAGTCTATAGTCTAGTCTATAGTCTAGTCTATAGTCTAGTCTATAGTCTAGTCTATAGTCTAGTCTATAGTCTAGTCTATAGTCTAGTCTGGACTATAGTCTAGTCTATAGTCTAGTCTATAGTCTAGTCTATAGTCTAGTCTATAGTCTAGTCTATAGTCTAGTCTATAGTCTAGTCTATAGTCTAGTCTATAGTCCAGTCTATAGTCCAGTCTATAGTGTAGTCTATAGTCTAGTCTATAGTCCAGTCTATAGTCTAGTCTATAGTCCAGTCTATAGTCCAGTCTATAGTGTAGTCTATAGTCTAGTCTATAGTCTAGTCTATAGTCTAGTCTATAGTCTAGTCTATAGTCTAGTCTATAGTCTAGTCTATAGTCTAGTCTATAGTCTAGTCTATAGTCTAGTCTATAGTCTAGTCTATAGTCTAGTCTATAGTCTAGTCTATAGTCAGTCTATAGTCTAGTCTATAGTCTAGTCTATAGTCTAGTCTATAGTCTAGTCTATAGTCTAGTCTATAGTCTAGTCTATAGTCTAGTCTATAGTCTAGTCTATAGTCTAGTCTATAGTCTAGTCCTATAGTCTAGTCTATAGTCTAGTCTATAGTCTATTCTAGTCTAGTCTAGTCTAGTCTATAGTCTAGTCTAGTCTAGTCTATAGTCTAGTCTATAGTCTAGTCTAGTGGCTATACAATTTCGGATCCTAAGTTATTTTATGTACGATTTTTAAAGAACTTTAAACTTTAAAGAATTTTTGCCATCCTTGTATTGACTATCAACCCACTAAAGTGTGACAGCAGCTGTCACATTTCGAAACAAATGCTAAATGGCGCGAAAATTACACTCTTGACGTCGACGAGCATGAACCTTATACAATGTTAAACGTACGAAAATATAAAATATTTGCAACTTTTGAGTACCATATACAATTTCACAAATTTGTTGTAGCAGTTGTTGTTACCCGCTGCTAATGCTCTTACATTTATTGTTGCCGTTGTTGTTGTCTGTAAGCTACAGGAAATAAAAGAAGTTTTCTGTTTGGTTACAAATACATGCATCTATGTATTTATGTATATTTTGTGTGAATAAAAATGAATCTAAAATGTAACAGTCAACATTTGTAGACGCAGTTGTTGTTATTGTTACATTTTTCATTACAACTTAACAAGGCATGAATGTTGCAAGTGTTACATGTAGAGAGCAGCTGCAGCAGCAAGCTGATGGTTCTTT